ACCTTTCCTGGCTCTTACTAGGCTTTGAGGAAGCCAGCCATGTACAGGTAGCAGGTTTCCCAAAAGCCTAACAGGAGCTAAGAGAAGTTTGTAGTCTCCTAATGGCCAGCTGATTGGGCAGAAACTTCTGAAAGCAGTTGTCATTTCTGCAAGGAATTGGCGTGCTGAAAATAGCTCTTCCAGGATGCTTAGGGAGCAAGCCCAAGCACTTCAGGAGCCCAGTGGGGCAGCAGGGGGGGGGGGTAGAGAGATGGCAAGGTGTTGCAGTTTACCTGTGGTCGATCTGAAACCAAATGACATGGGGATGCTGCAGATGTCATAACTTAAGAACAGGGTCGTATGTAGCTTTTGGGGGGAAGGTGTCTATCATAACTTCAAACAGATGTTATGTGACCAGTCATATAGTGCATTTTTTAAAAATCACTAACTTTGAGATGTGAGTAAGGCCCTTTTTCCATCTATGAAAATTAAGACTTCCTTGTTGCAAATTTTATTCTTGCTTAAATCAGTTCTCAAGCCCCTTTGTATCCTTTCTCAATTAATGGATTTTTAGATGAACTGTAATTTCCCAGGGAACTGATACGTCCAGATTGGCATGGGCTAATTTAAGTGGAGCCAGATACCCTGTCTTGGTGGAGGCAGGATTGGATGCATGGTTTTTCCGTAATTGCTATCATAGCATTTCCAGCCTCATGAACTTAAAAATCATAAAGCAGAAGAAATAATATTCTTTATGCCCTTAGGGTGGGAATGATTATGAAATCTATGATGATCCTCGGACAGTAGGACATAGTATCCACTCTCCCCAGGACACAGTTCGGCGATGTCGAGAAATATTTTTTCCAGAAACAGTGAATAAATCTTGACTCACAGATCTGCTGCTGCTATTCTTCTTGTTCACTTCATAAAAGCACCTTTTGAATTATAATCAAGGCTTGCACTTTGGAAATGGAGGTGAAGTGTGAAAAGGGAAAGAGAGTTAAAGTGCCATCAACAGTTGGTAGTAGTAAGAATCTACAGATCACTGCCTGCCATATTTCATCCTTCCAGCTCCTAAAACGTTCCATTTTAAAGGGAGCTGTGTCGTTTTCCTAAAACCGTGTGAGAGAAGGAAAGAAATAGAAAGCTGGTAATCTCTTCATATATTCACCCAAATCAATTTCTGAGATTAAAATAATAGTATTAATAGGTTAAAGGCAAAACAGCCTGATCTTTCAAACTATTTTCATATTTTTGAACCCTTAAGATGGCCTGCTATTTTTTAAAATTGGAACCAGGTCCTTTTTTTAAGCTAATAATGAATAGGGAAAACATCCCTAATCCATTACTAGCCATGCAGAATGTGGAGGGAATAGGAAATAAACTTTGAAACACAGATCCGACTGAAAGTGATTAGTCATAGACATCACCATTCTACTCAGCTTTCACTATCCATTAGAATATTCTTCTGTGGCTCCTGATCTAATATGTGAAACCGTCTGTTTAAAATATGACTTTGGTGCTCAGGTTTATTTTATCATAGATAATATATTTTTGGTCCAATAAAAGTAGAGTTTGTGTATTGAGGTCAACACATCTTTGTAGCCTTGCATATTGCAACTGCACTTTCCCACAACTAGGGAAGCAGCCCTTGCTTTAGCTTCAGTTGTTACTGTTTACTTGCACTTTCTTCCCATTGCCCAATCAGTCTGACTTTTCAAGCAGGATTGTACTTTATCACCTTAATTATCCAACCTAACTATATAAATGCTGGCAATAGCATTTATATCTACTAATCAGATTAATGGAATAAAAATGGGAGGCAAACATATCTTAAATCTATTTACAGATTACTTTGACTCTCTCAAATGCTTTTTATTCAGCTAGATAAGGAGTGAAATAAATTTGCAGAAATGTCAGGACTACCAATTTTCATGTATGTATGTGTATGTATGTATGTATATGTTCTGTCAGTCCAGTAATGCATTATAATTAAAAATATTAATATCTTTACAAATAATTGTGTACCAACTTGAAAGAAATTAAATGAAAAAATGAAAAACTGAGCTTCAAAATATTTCAGTATTTTACGATGAATTGCAATGGTTAAGATGAAAATTCTTGCACAGCTTACCTTTTTATTTCAGTTCCTCCTAGTGGTAACTCCTAAATAGGCTTTAAGACATAGGCACACAAAAAAACCAATAGAAAGCTTCTATTTCAATTTACAAAAACTAAGAGTAAGTAAAGTTACTTATAGAGATCTCAAAAACAGGGAGATTCGGTCATGCCCGATTTGTCAACACATTATCAAGCATTGCAACTAAGGCATATGATTCCATTTATTCTGGGAGACTCATATAAACAATGAAATCATTTTGAAACTACTTTAGAACCAAATAAGTTTATAAATCAATGCCTTTTTATCCAAAATATTTTTCTAGAATAAAACAGATTGAAAATATTTTTTACTAAAACAATCATCTCAAATTTCTTTTGGGTGATAGAAATATTAGAGATGTAGCAACATGACCCAATACCCATTTTGAAAATTTATCATTTAAAATGGCCAAAAACTATTTCAAAAATGTATTGGCTGTGATTGCAATCAGAAATAGAAGGTCCATTATATATTTTAAAGGAAGCTTGGGATACTGATCTTAGTAATCCTATACAGAGACAAAAATACAATGGAAGATAATTGGATTGTTGTACAATCCCAGTGTCATTTCCCATGAGATAGGTGACATGTAAATTTGATTGATTGGCTGAAAAATGAAACAAAACATAATATTGTTGGCCCTTTACTCCTGATTCATACTGGATATAATAAAATTATTCCAAATTTTGGAGAAGGTGTTAAAAAGTCATTTTCTTCATTTGCTGTGATCATGCAATGAAGTTATGAAATGGATGCCCTCAGCTATAGTACTTTCATATAACCATGGCACTAATTCAGAGACTTGAAAGCAGGCATTTCAGCACATGCTTCTTTCTTCATAAATAGTGCTATAATGCAATTAGAGGCATCTAAAGAAATAAAAAGATGAGAAGCTGGTATTATTAATGAAATGAAATTAACGCATTCTTTTCTGAGATGCTGAGGCTTTTGCTTTAAAATAAATATTACCAGCTCTTCTTAGGTTAGTTTCCATTCCTTTTTCATGAGGGTTATGAAATACTTAATACAGGGACCTATTTATTACTGTGAAAGCCACAAAGTGGTCTATTTCTCAGATGGATCAAAAAACAGACTCCCACTTTATTAAGCAGGAATGTTTATTTTGATGCCATGTATGTTAAAGAAACCCAACTATTCTGATGTAGCTACAGATTTGTGGGGCTTTGTTGACAGGCAGCTTTTATATCATTATAAAGTATGACATTAATAAAATTGAGTTAAAAATGAGACCCTACTATTGTCAAGTGTCTGTTTTGTAGTTCATATTTGTAACTTAATATAAAATTAAAAGTGAAAACATACCACAGTAGGAAATCAATAAGCAATATGACTTCACATTGGTTCATTAAAATTTAAGCTAAAAATACTGTCTTTGGAACTGAATGGTTTGTAATATGTTAAAGTATATATGATTTATTATCCTCAGCTTAGAAATGATAGATACTACCCGATAAAAATCATAAGTTTCATAAAAGTCGCTGGTAAAATCCATTAACAGGAGCAGTTACAAACTTAAAAGTAGCAGGGAGTAAGAGAAAGTGCCTCATTTAAACCTAGGAAAGCTACTATTAATACTGGGCTAGATGGTTCAGTGATCTGACTTCACCGTAAAGTAATCTGAATTCATTGCTAAGTAAAACTGCAACATTCCAGAAGTTGTTCAATGCCAATTCATTACTTTTAAACAGCACAGCCAAAAGCATACAGTGAAAAGAGCTGCAGTCTACCAATGACTAGAGTGCAAAAACTGCTCATCTTAAATGGACGGCCTGCATTATGCTGCTAATCAAATAATAGTTTCCAGCAGATTAGTATACTTCATCTCGGCATCACAAATTCTCAGAACAGCTACCCCATTCCCTTTACTCAATATCCTTAGACATTGTCATTTCAAAAGACCATTGTGAAATGGAAAAAAAATCAGAACAGGGAAGACTCTTGGAAAGTCACTTTAATGATTTATTGCCAGTGTTACAAAGATCAACATGGGATTAAAGAGGCAAGAACCACACAAAAAGTTGTTAGAACACAGACACATTATAGATAACAAGGTTATTTCAGAAAGAATTAAAAGCTTTCTCAGAGAAGTCAGTTTTGTGGCACTCCCACTGGTATTGCACCATCAAGGAGGGAGATAGGAAGTTGCTGGTGTTACATGTGTGCAGGAAGTTCCTCTGACTGTCTCATACAGCAAAAGGAAAGTGGCTGCCTTCAGATCCTCACTTCATTGGACTTAAAAGCAGCTGCTGCATCTCATGGAAAAGTCCAGAAAAAAATCTCCCTTTATTATCTACATACAGATAAACGATAATTTCAAAATCATTATATTGTCTCCTGCATGTATGGAGTTTTCTTTCAAAATAGACCATTAAGAATGTTTTATTTGGATTTTTAATTGAAGGAGGCGGAATATTCGTATCATTTGTTACTGACATAATGAGGACATTTCAGGAACAGGAACAATAATGTCCCGCAGAATGATCTTAACCAACCTTTTTATAGCTTTGCTTGGAAAGAACTCATTTCTTATCTCTTATATCAGTTATAATAAATCCATACAGAAACTTCTTGGAATAGGTTAATTAGCAGCATATTGGGAACAGAGGGGGAATGTTAGGGTACCATTTTAAGTTGCCTATATGAAGAAACAAACTCAGGAAGAACTAGGCTAGAACTTTTCTTAAAGTTGCACTCCATTTCTACCATATCGGGTTTATAGGAGAATATTTTTAAAACTCAGCTGTAGCAATAGCACTTAGACTTATATACCACTTCAGTGCTTTACATCCCTAAGCGATTTACAGAGTCAGCATATTACTCCCAACTATCTGCACCCGCATTTTACCTACCTCGGATGGATGGAAGGCTGAGTCAAACTTGAGTCTGGCAAGGTTTGAACTGCCAAATTGCAGACAGCCAACAGTCAGCAGAAGTAGCCTGCAGTACTGCACTCTAACCACCGCAGCACAGACTTTCTGTAGTGTAACATCCATTCAAGAAAGAATTGTATGAAAGCCTTCTCTACCTTGGCACCCTCCAAGTGTATTGAAATGGCAGTTCCCAGAATTTCCTCAAAATATGGCTTTCCAGGAGTTGTAGCCCTAGCAAATCAGAAGGGAACTAAGTTGGGAAAGGTTGCATTATACCAATGTTCTTCAAACTTGGCAACTTTAACATGTGGACTTCAGGTCCCAGAATTCCCCAGACTGGCTATGGAAATTTGGGGTGTGAACTACATATTAGAGTTGCCAAGTTTGAAAAACATTGGCACCCTTACAGCTAATTCTGGTATAATTTGGAAGTCCCCAAGTCCTTATAGCTATGAGGGCTTTTCCTTTAATCTTTTGGGTTGAAATATAGAGTGGAATGCAACGCCCTCTGGCTACCTTACATGAAATTTGCCATAAATTTAGGTTGGCAGTATACTGTAGAATTAAACTGTCTAAGTGGGGTGTCCCCCTTGAAAACTAAATATGAACATTAGGCTGTTTTCTATTTCTATGTCTATTTCTACAGAGCAACAGCCTATCCTGAACCCTCCGTCTCACCCTACACCTAAGTGCAAGTTTGTAAAAGATCGAAGGGGCTAAACTCCCACAAATAGGAACAGTAAAATTATATTGGACATTCACACACACACACACACACACACAATCTCATTAAGGACACTGGAAATACATCCCAAATACAAAAAGCATATATTTTATAGACACCAGATTTATTCCAGCATACTGCAGTACCATTATGCTATAGGCTCTACTTTCAGACTTCCTCATCTCATTCAAGAGAGCTTCACTAAATGCTCATCTCTCACATTCTTACTTACTTCATTTACTTAAACATACCCACTAAGTGTAATTCCTAGAAGAATAGTGCTTGCTTCCATGCATTAATTTAAAAACTTACTATCCATGTATATCTTTTCTCTCCAAGATCATGCAACTTCAGTGTGGCATTGCCCATATGCTTTCAACTCTGCAGACCGTACAGTTTATACTGCCTGACAATTCCATGCAAGTTCTGAGAATGTACTGTACATGGTATCCTGGGAAATTCTTCTTAATGCATCTAAATCAATATTGTGCTTTTAAACAAGACCCTGTATATCCTGGGGAATTAAGATGTTGGGGGAAAGACTGGATAGAATTGGAACAACTGAAGGACAATACTACTAGTTACCATTTATTTAATATTACCCATTAATCTTACTTCTGCTGAACATTTCTTTATCTCTTCTACACATAATCCTCATTCTCCAGTCACATAGAGGATAATCATTAAAATGTTGAAGTTTGAAGAACAGAAGGGAGAATGGAAGAATTAGCCTAAACATCCATTCTGAGGAAATTTGTTGTGAAAAATATTCAGAAGTGCAATTACATGCAGATAATACTGAAACCTACATCTGCGAAAGTGTAATAAACAAAGATGCTATTTTTCAAGCAGATCTTCATAGCTAGAAACTATCATTCATAATATAAGAGGATCAAACAGATGCTTCCTGGTGATTTTATTTCAGATTTTTCTAACATAATAGACCAAATGAGTTGGAACTGTACTTTCCAGTAATATCTGGAGACACTATGTTAAGAAGACCATTCTAATCCCTTTAATGTTAATAATAATATAATCTAACAAAGAAAGCTTCATCTGCAGGGGTTTTATTATTATGTATTACTTTTAGTAGACACAAATGTAATCATGGGCAATACTTAACACTTTATATGAAAATTACAATGTCAGCAAAACAACACATTTCAGTAGAGGCTGAATTCTAGAATACACTTGGACACATACTTTTAATTGCAATTAATGGAAGATCATATATTACCATTCCTGTATTATATTTTGCTGCCCTTTTAAAAAACAGATGCAACTTAGTTTACAATTAAGAGAATAAAATAAGAAAAGTTATTTGTTATAATCTGAACATATATCACAACAGTCTGGAAGCAAGATACTGCTACAGTTCAGGCTACCTGGGACGGACCACTGTGGTGCACATGGAAAAAATTAAACTCAATTTGAGATTAATACATTTAGAAAAGTTCTTCAGCTACCTCCAGCAAAGAATTATTTGCCTGCAGAAGATCCTGATTTTGGTAATATCTTTTACAAGACCAAAAAAATCCCTCCACCCATTTTAGACATATCTGAACAAAATTTCACAGTGAGTTATTAATTTGTCTTTAGAAATGCTCCTTCCTTAGTGTTATATTCCGTTGGATTACTGCGTAATTATTTCAGACCCTGTGCATGAAGTGTTTTTGAAAGTAGACTTGAAGCTATAGCAATCATTACATACACAATAGTGGTAACCAAGCCATTGATCTCAAACTCAGCCAAAGATAAATAGAAATTTAGAGAAGTGTGATCCATATGCAGAAGCAAACGCATAGGTTCTTTCTTTGCATATGATTATACAAGAAATACACACAACACCCCAAAACAAAACAAAACAAACTTGAAGCATTCCTGTAGGTGATTTAGAAAACTGAAAGAATGACAGCTTCACCATGTTTGGACCATATAGAACTGTGCCCTAAAAAATTCTATTTCACTGAATGCCTGTTCTGGCTGAGAAGGGTGCATAATAACAATGCAACAACCTCTGCTGAAGATGGAAGGGAATTTTTTGTTAAAAGGATAGGATAATAGATAATTTCATTACTAATTTGTTTAGAACAGGACCAGATAAACATCATTGTGGCCAACATATACTACTCTGATAGTAGATTTCTTTCACCCTATTGGATATTCATAACTTAAGTGTAAATCTATCCAGCAACACTTTTCAACTTCTTGCTTGCCCTTCTATAACAAAAAAGCACATTTACAAACTAAGATTAGATCTTAGAAAAGACAAGATAAAGTTGCAAATATGTCACACAGCAAACAAAAATTGCCAGCCTGGCTCTTTCATTGCTCCAGTAGTTCCACCACCCACCATATTATTCAACTCTACTTCCTGCAGGCTCAATAAGTAGTTTATGAGCCAATTATTTGGCCTGACCATGTTTCATGCTTTGTATGTGGTGCTAAATGAGTGAGCACCACCTCCACAGCCTGGAACTTCTGATTCTTTGGTGGGATGGGACAGATTTTATATGTGACCACATCTCCTTCTACCGGGACATATTCCCCCTCAATGCTGAAAAAGAAAAAGAAGGAACATTTCAGAGCCCCGAATAAAAGTCTGGTGGAAAGAAATTGATGTAATTAAAACTTATCAGACAAGGCATAGCAAATTTTAAAACAATTGCATTCCCTTTAGGAAGCTTCAGTGTATCAGAATTTAAATAAGCAATTTGCTAAAAACCTAACATATAGAACAATCAAAGAAAACTGTATAAAATTAAACATCATAACAGGATGTGAATTACATTCCTCCAAACATGATGCATTTTGTAGCACTCTAATTTAGGAAGAGTTCTGCCATCATAGCAGAATTAAAATGTTAGGGTTTGGAATATTAGCCCACATTTATTTGTAATAATATTTTCTACTGCATTTATTATGAACCACCTTTTAGCCAGCCAAATATGACAACAGAAATCGTTAATTCAACTTCCTCTACCTACAAAATGTACAGCAAGATTTCTTCCTGTCCTGTGGAAATCCCTAATCATATACACTGATTTCTGAATATACTAACTGATCTGAGTGTAATTCAATTTCGTTGTTAAATAATTCACTGTATTAACAACAACAAAAATTTCTTGATGGTATCATAGATTCTTAAAAATGAAAGAACAATGTATAACAGTTAGTAAACACAGGACAATACTTAAGTTGACCTTTGCCACTGAATTTATCTCCTTTCAGTAGAATGAGAGATTTGTGTTCTTAGGATTTGGGATATGAACCAACCAGGGATCTGCTCTTAGTATCACCTTGTCTTGATAGAATACATAGATTTCCCTGTTTCAGAAAAGGACCTAGTTCCCCAACCCACCTCACTGAAGCTGAGACCACCAGAAAGGCTGTCTTCCAGAAGATGAGGTTAATGGGATTTTATGAGTTCAAAGAGAGCAATTACTAGAGTTCAAAGAACTGATAAAAGAAAATGGTGAATGATCAGTGAGAGAGAAATCTTGCAGCTTTGCAGAAGCAGCACGTGTTAAGAATGACCACATAGTAATGTTCCTCATCAACATCAGTTGCCTATGTACTGTATTAGCTGCTAAGTCCTTTTTTTCAAGACCTCTTATAAGAATCTCAGTAGTTCTTAACCTGTTCCAGATGCCATTAGACGCATTTGTATTATTGTTGATGGGCATATCAAATAAAATGATAGCTCTATAAGCCAAAATGTTTTCCACTGTGGTGGCTAGAAAATTAGAAGGTAGGAGATATTTCCATTTATTTTTCAAGCATGAAGTTGCAGCCTTCTGATTCCAGGTAATCAGTGGGGCTGGAAGAGATGATGTCTGGGCATTTTAGGAGTTGGCATAAACAGTCTTCTAGGACATAATGTGCTTCACTGTCATGAATGGGCCAATTGATGGGTTAGGGTCCCCATCTTGCTGACATATCACAAGAAACCTCTGCTTCTTTCTAAGAGAAAGCACTGATAATTCAGCCTCTTAGCTATTCTTTATATGTACTTGGCTGATATAGAAAAAAGAATGTCTAAACTACATATACTATACTATAATAAGAATGTCTATACACTTTTTTCTAAAGTGTATTTTCATCTTGATCTGGTTTACCTAAGTTTTGGTCCAAATATTGTTTGTCCACACCATTAGGTGCCATTCATTCACCTGCTGTGAAAGTGCCTTCAGAATCAATCATACTTTTCCTCACGTTGATTGATAAGAAATACTGATGGGACCTTTTGTAATGGGACTATGATCTTTGCACTGACTTTTTTTTTAATTTGGGGAGTCTATCCCATTAGACAGGCATTAGATCACCTGCTCTCCAACTGTCCTTCTTTACCAATGCAATGATTGAGCTACCTTCCAAATTCTCAAAACAAGGAGGACAAATTGACTACTCTGCATACCCCAAATATGTACACGTGTTAGTAAACCTTTATCCTGCCACAACTGACTCAACAGAAAGTTTCTGGAGAACAGTATTTCCTTATTGTATTGGAGTATGTAAAGAAGCAGGAAGTATCCATATGTGAAAAAAACACATAATGCATAAGAATATAATAATGTCAATAATGGAAGTTGGGATGGAGAGAGAAAATAGGGATCCTGACTTATCACTAGGGCTCGCTGCCTTAGAAGAGTGAGGAAAATTCTCAGGGACGACTCACATCCCGGTCAGCACTTCTTCACTCTCCTACCATCGGGTAGGAGATATAGAAGCATAGCCAGCCGCACCAACAGACTGAAGAACAGTTTCTACCCATGGGCTGTCAGACTTCTGAACAGAAAATAACTTCATGTCAACATAGTATGATAGACTTTCGGGGCCAGCACATTGTGCAACAAGATCACATAGTATAATAAGATTGGGACTGGGTTAGGGACTTCTGTCCTCACTGTGAGTTGTGTTGGGGGGGGGGGAGCGCATGAAGGGAGGCTCAGCCAATCTCATTGTACACATGTTGTACTCTGACAATAAAAGTAATAAATAAATACATAAGCCACTAAAGACATCATTGTTCCTTCCCCACAGAACTCACTCAGAAACATGTACAAATATATCTTCTGTGCCATTCTCTGGGGTGATGAAACCATGGCCCTGGGAACGTGAAAACTGCTTACATACACCTTTGTAGATGGGACCAGCAGAAGCACGAGCCGTCCTAGGAAAAAAAGAGGGTGGGGGGAATGAAAATCAAGCTGAGCTATTATGGTATTCAGAATAACAGAGTTGGAAGGGACCTTGGAGGTCTTCTAGTCCAACCACCTGCTCAAGTAATTTCAGACAAATGGTTGTCCAATCTCTTCTTAAAAACTTCCATTCTTGCTTAGGAAGTATTACCTGCATTAACAATATGCAATCCTGCTTTTTCATGAGAAGGATGTTAAAAGTGAGAAAAATATAAACAAAGAGTAATTATGCTATAATAGGCAACACTAAAAACATATTTGATATATCTCTCGTAAGCCCAGCCAACATATTACCCTAGATTTTTTTTAACTACTTCTGATATTGAGTATATATACAAGGATACATACCATGGTGCTCTCCAGGTTTTGTGTAATTTAAGCTATTTAATTAATATTAATATTTAATTAATGGTTAATTAATTTAATCTTTCACCATCGGCCATGTTAGCTATGGCTCATGGAGATGTACCTAGAATTCAATATCTGGAGATTCACAGGTGTACATGTTTCTAATCTCAGGCTGTTTATACTATTTCAACAATGCATTCTATAAATTAGATTCTTCAGGATTCACTATTGTCATTCAGTCATTTTGTATTTTTCATGAGCTAATGGACATCATTTTGCCAATGGCTCCCCCCAAAAGGGCCATTGGCAATCAGGCCCTTCTATCCCTTTCTAGGTGGGCCAGCATGGGCTAACATGGCCCAGGCACACCAATATACATGGAAGGAGTTATTGCCATTTAAAAATAATGGCCATTAAGATAAAAATCAAGAAACAACCCAATAATATAAAACATTAAACTTGTGGTGGACAATGTTGTTCAACTAAAAATTCCCCCAAAGACTGTCCTTTTTGGCCAAATGATCCCTCACCGATCCTGCTGCCTCAAAAACATGCCCTCTGTGGGCCAGATAGAGACCTAAGGAGCCTCCCTCTTGTGGCAGCCAGGATCCAGTCTCTAGGCCCAGATATAGTTGTCCTCTCTTCCTTGGGCTGGCAATCTTGCTCTCTTTTCAAAGAAGTGCAGCCTCTGTACCTTGTAACAGCTTTGTTCTTTTCACTCCCTCTCAATCCTTTTTTCCTCAGCTCCTTCATTTTGTCCTTCTCTCCTGCTGTTTCCCAGCCATCCCCTTCAGGGCTCCTTCTTGTCCCAATTCCAGGGGAGAAGCTCCAACCAGTTAGCCACCCAGGAAATGCTGCCAATGGAGCAGGCTACATCAGGATCTGTTGCCAGCTACTACTTTGAATTATTTTAATGTTTGTATCTTCAATATGAATATTTAGCCAACCTGACTTCTGATAGCTTTTATCCAATGATTGATGCTTTCACATTATGTGTTCAAAATATAGGCTTTCAGATTCATTATTAATATTGCAAGTGAGTAATTCAGTTTTTACTTCTACTATTGAATAATGTGTTCCTCTTGCAGACCAAAGTATTCTCAAACATTTTTTTCAAGCACCACAATTCAAAGCATCCAATTTTCTTCATTTCTGTTTTGTTTTTGTTTTTAGTTATATAAAATAAACAGCTTTGGGTGAGAACCAGATTTTGAATACCACAAGCCATAACATAGATAAGAGACTTTATAATTTAAATTGGACAATAGAGAGGACTAAAGTCCAGGAAAAAAGGGGAAAAAAACAACTTGTCTTTAGGACTAGGACTTACAAAATGACACAAAAATACCATAACAACTGAAATATTAAAAGATATCTTCAAAAAAATGGGGGCAGAAATTAGTAGCCACAATATCAATGTCTTTTATGGATAGACTAATGAAGGACTGACAGATATGAAGCAAATTTTGCTTGATGAAAAAATAATGAAATCAGAAAGACTGGGTTTTTAAAAAGTGTGGATTATAAAACAGACCAAGCATTCAACCTGGAAATAACAATTTACAGGAGAAGGTGTGGGTTCCAACACAGAGAACAGGCAAGAGTTGAGAACATTTTACTGGATTCACAAAAGAAGCTGGTTAATGTTTTGAAACTCAAAGCAGAAATATAAAAGACAATTAAAGCAATGACCTGGATAAGGAATTTCCTTCTCACAATTTTTTAAATCTTATTTCTAATTTTTAAAATACAAAATAAAAGAAAAAAACAACCATCAAACTAACAACTATCAAACATTAACAATAAAAATAAAAATTGTGCACAAAAGAATAACAAATCACGAACAGTGACATTAAATATAAAATGTTAACCCTGATTGAATGCTGAAAAATACATTGAAAATATCCGATACATTCTCTCCCCCTTACATGACAGGTCCACAAGTAATTATAATTTTCCCATCTATATTTAATACTATGTTACAATACTCAAAAATATGTCCCTGATGTGGAAAATTGTGTATCTATCAATCAAATCGACCCACCATTTGTTTGTTATATAAAAAACAGCAGTCAACAGGTAACCCCAAAAGTAAAACTAATCTTCAAAGCCCTCGGTTGAAAGTCCTAGATAAGGACTTTCCATTGGATTTACAAAAAATATCTGCTAAAGTAGCAGTCCCCAACCTTTCTGGCTTTGTGGACCAGCGTTGCCAGCAGCGGGAGTGGAGAGGGGATGGTTCCATGCAAGCGGGAGGCAAGCATGCATGCATATGTGCACACAGCTCCATTTGTCCAAGGCAGGTTCCCCAGCCCACCTGGACTCACACAAATAGAGTGGCCTTCCACTTGCACGGCCTGTGAAAAAAACCTCAAAGAAGCCTCTGCAAAGGGGAAAAAGAAAGTGAATTAAGGATTGAGATCGTGAGAAGTAAAAGAAAGGAATATAACAGTTTGTGTGATCAATATTAAAATATGTTTTTGTAAAGCTCTAGTAACTCTTTACAGACATTTTGCTAATATCAGCACTGAAAAGTTAATGATTTATACTTTTGCATAGAGAAGGGATGGGCTGGGGAAAAAGTTGTAAGCTTACAGGGGATAGTGAGTTATCAAATTTGTTTTATTTGTGATGAAGACTGGGAGTCACTTCTTTGCATATATTTTTTTCTTTTGATTCTATTTCTTTCTTCTTTTTGTTCCAGTTTTCTTTTCCTTTCCTTACACTTTATTTTTTCTCTTTGTATTTTTTTCTCTTTATATTTGCTTTTACTATTGTACTGAAATTAAAATTAAAAAGTTTCCTTAATTGATCTAATTCAGTATGTTGGCTAACCTGAAGCATTCAGTTTCCAGTATTATGTTGATATTGTCTTGATTGGGAATATCCATTTGATTTTCTTGGAAGAACATTGAAATGGGTTACCATTTCCTTTTCTAATGGAATGGAATAGTCTGATTTCTCATGTACAACCTGCTCCCATATGTGAACTTCCAGGATTAAATACATTGAAATGGCAATTGTATTACATAAAATCATGGATTAAACAGGGTTATGATCTGATCCAAAAAGGCTCATGATGATTTTAATGAAATATGAGTAAAATTTGATATTCTCATTGTGTGGGGAACTGAATAATCAAAGTTATCAAAAAAGCAGCATTGCAAGGTTCAATTCTTTCTCTAGGATCATAATGTGTAGAGAACCAGGGAGAAAGAGACCAGAACTACATGCACCTGGAACAGGGATAGAGATACAATTATGGCTGCAATTCCTCACTTCTTCCAGCCTCAGCTAATAGGCTCCATGTCATCAAAGCAAAAATCCATAATTTTGGTCAATTTTGGATACTTACGCGGAGTAAGTCCTTGTTCTTTTTGTGGGAAGAGGGCTGGGTAAGTCCCGAAGAAGGTGAGTACCCCTCTCACAAATCCGGCTTCCCTCTCTGTTGAATGGGAAAATAGGCCACACAGGTGACTTTGGAGAGTGGAGAGGTGGCACTGTAGATTGAGGTGTCTGGTCAGATGACATGGTGGGAGGATTTGTCTCCTGGAATGAGAGATTTGCTGTCAGTGGAAAATTAAATTAGCAGAAGGATTTTTTTTAGTTCATAGTAATTTTGATAAGAAGCTGCAACAACATTAATGTAATTCCTGAGATAATTCAGTTCATAATAACTCTGTTGATTCACTATCATTAATAATTACTGTATTAATAGTACAAAGGAAAAATCTCTCTAAAAATAGTAAGGGATGAGCCAAGCTGTGAGAACACTAGGGAGCTATACAATGTATGTGTGCAAAAATGTTTCCTGTTTAATGTTGGCTAAGAAGGAATTCCAGACCCAAAACATCTGAGAAACGACAGGTTGGGGAAGACTGTTGCAAAATGCACCTAAACTTCCCTTCTCTGTCTTTCCCCATCTCATTGTCAGGGAATAACAATACTACAATATTAAATAATAGGTACCTTAGGTGCAATTCTAAAACATCTACAGTATCACTTGAACATCACTGGCATTGACAAAACCACCATTAATCAGCTGCACAAGACAACTTTACTTGGAAATGCTTACATCCTGTAATAATACTTTAATGCCATCAAACAACATGTCTGGCCTAGATCTTGGGAAAGACTCAGTTGGTGGACTAAAATGCCAAATCCAATCTAAATACCTGGCTGACTGTACAGACAGCCATAATTTATTAAACTTGCATGCACCTTGACTCTCAATAACTTAGCATACCTCCACCCTAACCTGATGGCTCTTATATCTTAAGCACTCTCCTTCCCAATTAGGCATATCTTTACTTTGCATTCTAAGGTACAGCCGCACTTAAAAGCAATTAGTTCTTTTTAATTATTTTTACTTTCATATCTGGCAACCATCTTCATCCTCACCATTCACAGATTAGATGTCTGTTTGGAAATTAGACAAGTGCATCATGCAAAGCCATTAAATGGTTTGTTTTGTTTTGGCTGCTTGTTATATGAACTCAACCATATTTGCATATGATTTAGTCACAGTGTAATGTGTAAAAGTAGCGAGTGGGAACTTATTCAATAATCTTCATTAAACAAATCACAAAGTACCCTAAAAGACAAACTCAGACATAGAGGAATAAATGATTTACAAGATTCTCCAAAAATTGAGGGAATAGTAATTCAGTCATCTTCTAGCTTTTTAGTGATAGCAAACATCTGGTTTTGCAACTACTAAAAGATTTATGCATTACATGGCAAACAATATATGTCAATGTCAAATTCTCGGTGAGTTATTTCTTATGAAATGTAAGGGAGAGGAATGCCACTCATTCTTTGATCCAGGGCAGACTAAATATATCAGCCTAAGGCAGTCTGGTGTTGCGCACTTCTTGAAAGTCCTTAGCCTTATACACTGCAAAGCCTTCCCATATTAAACATTCAAAGCCTACACCTGGGGCAGAAGCAAGCCCTAGAAAATACTGGCTCAATTCCAAAACAGACTTAACGATTTCCATGGAAATACAGCATAAACTCCAACATTTTGGATTATTTGAATACTGCTTACAGTCTTAAATCTTAAAGTAGAAGATTTTATCTCACAGGTAAATAAACAATTGTCTATTGCCCTATTAAGACTGTATTTTCCTTGGTGATTTCTGTGGTTAAAACAAGGCTTCCCAGATAAGTGAGGATACAGGTCCTGCCATTTCAACTTGTTCTTCTTTTGCCAGACAAAGGAGAGGGAATCATGGCAGACAGCTAGGCTTATGCTCCTCTTTTGTGAATCTATGCCATTCTACTTTTCAGAAATGCTTTAATCACAAAGACTGAAGTGCAAAACTAGGAGAATCTCGGACAAACCAGAGTTTAAAGTAAGCCTCTCCAAAGCTACTATGGGAAACAAAACCCTTAACAGAGTAGGGAAAAAGAGCCACAGAATTACAATAACACTAAGCCATAAACTATACTATGCAAATAATAATTAATGGACTCACACAATACATTAAGGCAGTGTTTCTCAACCTTAATGACTTTATGATATGTAAGCTTCAGCTCCCAGAATTCCACATATCTTAAATTTGGCAAAGTTGGGAAACATTAAAACTCTAAAGTAAAAAAAACCAAAGAGTTCATTACAGTAGAAAAGAACCAGGTCTTTAGGCAGCAGACCAAGAGACTTTTCTGCCGGAAGTGCTGTTCTTTGGACAAGAAAAATGGCTGCATCTTCCCTCCTTTTTGCTTTACAATGCTCTGTACTCTGTACCTTGCTCTCTTCAAGGGGAAAAAGCCAAGCAATTACTCCTATTCTCTCTCTCTCTAAGATATAGAGATATTGATCTCTCTTCACCCATTACATTAAATATAATGCATAATATACCAACTAACTTTTTGGTTTGAAACAGTGGTGGGATTCAAAACTTTTTACTACCGGTTCGGTGGGTGTGGCTTGGTGGGCATGGCAGGGGAAGGACACTGTAAAATCTCCAGTCAGAGGTGGTATTTGCCGGTTCTCTGAACTACTCAAAATTTCCGCTACCGGTTCTCCAGAACTGGTCAAAACCTGCTGAATATCACCTCTGGATTGAAACATTTTGCTGCTAAATGTACTTGCATTCCCTCAGCGCATAAAATCAGTAATAGATGCAAAGAATCAAACTCCGGCAGGACGTGTTAATTAATTTTATGAATTTATTACCAAAACTAGGTCCAGTATGAAATAACTAAGGGAGCAAAGGATGAGGACATATTAAAATTAGATATTAAGAACAGTAATGTTTATTTATCTTCCAGGTATCCTTAATGAGGTGAGGAGTTATACTCTAATACTCTTGAGGATGCCACATTAGAGAAACCTGCCCTAAACTGGTACACTAAACTGCTGGTTGGGAATAGATTTTACATGCAATTCAAGCAGTCACAATGTAAAAATGACCATGTAGCATAAAGATATCCTCATCAGCATTTCTTTGCGTGCTTTTATGAAGAGATATAATCACATACTTCTTCCTTCAAATACCTTGGAATATTATGGCATTCCCCCCCCCCCCAATATTCCTACATATGTTCTGTAAGAGGTTGCAGACTTTACAGCTAGAAACAACTCTTATAGCTTACTTCCAAAAGGTATCTAACCACCATTAATTGGGGCAGAAAATTGGGTGAACAATTTCTCCAGGGGAAGAAGAAATTCCCCAACAATTTTTGAACAGCCTACTTAACTGGTGACTTCTCATTACTGAAAAAACTCATGGACAAATTCTGTTGTGATATTTTCAGTTAGAATGTTATCAAATGTGGGCAGATAATCATTTTCTCTTTTGCACTACATTCAGACATACTCCTTGACCATTTTGCAGCTAACTCAGGGCAAAAACGCAACTATCTGCCCAAAGCATTTCTCCAAAATTCTTTCTTCTTTGAAATAATTTCTAAAGTTAACTCCATTTCATGTAATGAATTAGAATTAGAAAAAACATTGCAGATTACTCTGATAAGGATATTCTGGTTGTTTTTTTCTCTGTGACAGCCTGCTAGGTATGATATAAAGACAAGAGTCAAAAGAAGATGAAAATAATGGCTTATCTAGTGCTCTTTGGTACCATTTACATCAGCATGTGATCTACCAGTGTTAGTTTTTCCTTGAAAGAACAAGGCTTTAAACAAAATCATTTTTTGCTCTGCTCTGTGGGCAGTTATTTACTTACAGATGCTTTTAGGAGCTCTTCACTAAATTAGAGGGAAACCATGTCAGGTTTCACACACTGAGCTAACCATGATTCAAGTATATAATAACATCTAGTTTCTGTAGTGCTAATTTGTTAAGTATTAAAGAAATAAATGTATATATTACTTCATAAGCCAAATATATTGAGATTTACAATAAGAATGTAGTAAAACAATATTTAAAATAATTTTAAAACATATTCATTAAAAGGGGAAGAACACTTTTCCAGCATTCATACCTGAAAGAACTGGGTGAAGAACAACAGGAACTTAAATTATATAATTATACTTTAATTATAATTATTGTCTGATTTACCCAAAATGTTAAACCCAACTACATTATATGATCCCAGGTCAATGCTAGAAGCAGCATTTTATCTCCTCTTACAGAAAGCAGCCCTGGGTCTGCTTATTACCATTTTAAAAGAATGAAAAGGTACTGCTAGGGAGAGACTACATAAGTATATGAATATTAATTCTATTCCAGTTAGAACAATGGTCGTGCATTGCCATCTGAATTTATATTTTAGACTAAAAATGTGACAACAGTAGTAAGATAGGGATGTCAATGCCAATAGTCAGATATTGTATCTGAATGGATATCCATTCTATTTGTAGGAGAAGACTTTTAATTATACATAATTAATCCATCAGGAAGTTGTTTGGTTGCAGAACAGCACATTACTTGCCCTTCAACAGTTCATAGCTTTAGAAAGGATCAAAACTATTTTGTTGATCTCTGAAAATCAAGCTAGGTGATTGAGATGATACAATAGAAAATTCTGAAAAAATCTAATGGAACATAGGAATGCAAGAGCTTTCCTTTATATAGTGTTTATTATTTGATTCGTATTCATTCTGTTTACAATTTGTTTACAAATTCTTAAACTTTTTTAGTAAAATAAATTTTAATATCTTTTTTCTATATACAAAAGTTGGGAACCATCTCTGACTTGATTTTGTAACTGCTAGCCACATATAACTTGGAAATTTAAAATGAGGTCATTATTGTGATTGCCTGCAAGCAGCAGCTATCTACCAGTTACAGTCTTCTACCTCTGAATAAACCTGTTCTGGTTTTAGTCACTAGGATCAATAATATTTTTCATACATGTTAAAAAACTACTGATAGGATATGTCTATCATTGCATAACACTAAAATTAATTCCCAATACTGCTTGTTGGACTTTGCTTAACTCTTTACTGGAAGTAAAAACCTACATTTTACTATACAGTGTAGCTGTGTGCTGTGTGTGTGTTATTCAACATCACTGTCACTACGTCTCCCGGTGTGCACTCATTCTCCTAACGGGAAATTACCTCAACAAATGGCATTAAAAATGACTTACAACCAGTCCTGGTGTTTACAAAGTTTGCCGCATCCCCATTGTCACATGATTGAAATTTGGGGACTTGGCAACTGGCAAGTATTTACAACAGTTGCAACATCCCAGGGTCATGTGATTGCCATTTGTAACCTTCCCTGCAGGCTTCCAACAAGCAAAGTCAATGGGTGAAGCCAGATTCACTTAAAATTGCATGATTTAACAACTGCAGTGGGTCATGTAATCTGTGGTCTTAGAAGATGATGCAGAAAATAATATCACAGCCTGAGAAAGCACCAACAATGAAACAGATCTCTAATTCATTACTCATCATACATTCAAAGAAACATCAACTAAGCCTCAAGGTTTTCATTAACAAAGTTATGAAAGTCTTTATATTTGCAATTTAATTTGCCTGTTGAAGGCAAGACAGAAGTATCCAATTCTACACATTATTTGTGCATCAGGATCTAAATGTTGTAATTTATTTTTTTCATTATCCAAGAACCAGAAAGGAGGAGCATGTTGGAGATATGTAATATCATCAGAAGTAGGTGGCTTTTTTTTTTTTGCTTTTTGCTTTTTTTTTAATAGGGTCTATTTATTTAATACCAAACATCTATTCTTTGTTGGAGGATGTCTGAGTGTCTTATGCAAATCAAGCTTTAACAATCTTGGCCATGTACATGCAATATACACATACAGTGGTGTGCAAAATGCTTTAAATTGAATTATTTTGAATCTGAAACATATTTTTCTAAGAATAAACTACTCCACTTCAAGTGTCAAACAGTCCTGTCAAGAAAGTGTTGCAAGCTCAAAACCTCTGAAGTTTGAAAAATTTCTCAAATTCTAAAATCAAATTATTTCATAGGTGTTTCATATTCAAAACAGAGTTGGGAAGACTCAACTCTGCACATCTCTATGACAATATTTGTGTTCTATAATGAAAAAAGTTCACTTCAGACACAGATTGTCCACTGCTTCATAGTAAATACATGTTAGTTGCTAGCACCCAAATTCTGATCATGTGACAATGGGGATGCTGCTATAAGTGTGATGACCAATAAGTCAATCTTTTCAATGCCATTGTAAATCACTTTAAATGGTTAAGAGTTGAGGACCACCTGTACTTAGATTGTTCAGACTTATTTTGAGCTATATATCAGTACCAAAGAAATATGGATTTTATGCCAAACAGAATGAGAGCCTTGAATTCACAATTTGTAGAATACAATCAGTAAATGGAGTTTAGACCAGAATTCAATTTGCTGTGCTTGCCTTATTCACATTCCAATTTAAAACCAAAGTTAGATTATGGTCCATCAACTTTTCATTCTAATTTCTTGGTGTCAAACTATATCAGGATGAATTGTTTGGATAGGCAGTACTAGTTTATTTAAATATTGTCATACCAAGGGGAAATTGCCATAAAAATCACTGTTTAAATATATATATTGGTTCTTCCAATGCAGAAAGCATGTAGATATTATACTAAATGGAAGCTTTCACCTAGAGGCAAAAAATAATAACACTTAATTGGATTTCCAAGAGGTAATTAGTTTCCACTGCCTGGCCCTTTTATTAGATACTTAGTTTTTAAGCAAATTATTACATATACATAGTTCAAAAAAGAGAAACACTGGTAGTTTTATGAAGAGATTTTTTTTTAATTCATGCAATGCTAGCAAGCAAATTTGTTCTCTTAACAAATGGCTCCATCAATTAAAGATGTACACATACATGTAGTGCCTTCCCCCACTTAATCTTAAAGTGCCAGGAAAGAATTAGAAAACAGATTTTTGGCCCCAACTATATCTAGCTATATAATGTGGCCTTAACAAAAACAAAATACCCCTCTTCAAACAGATCAACATTTTTAACTATAGTCAGAGTAAGTGCAATAAGACTGAGATATAAATCCAATCCAAGATAATGTTCCAGCATTATCAGCTAAAATTACCTTTGGTCCACAGAAGTATGATGCATAATCAATGTTAAATCTTTAAAATGGCATTTATTTTTACTGCAAAAGTTACCTTTTTGGTAGCCTATTTTAGATGCAGATATACACAGGCACACAAGTATGTGGCTGTGTATAATTTATTAATGCCACAAAACAGCCTCTTCAAATCTAGTCCCACAGCTATGTTAGATTTCTCCTCTTAATCTCTAGCCAGTTCTAAAATCTTGCCATAATGCATGATTATAAATCTTAAAGGAAAAAACAACCATAAACATGTGATTAAATGTCACAGATTATAGCCCCTCTCTTATGCTTCCTTCTTTAAATATTCAAAACTGTATAAATGCCACTGAACAGTTATAGATTTAATTATTCATTTCCTAATATGGTAGAGGGTCAATGCAAGGGAAAATACAAATCACTTTCACTTCCATGTTATAAATTTGTAGCAGGACTCAGCACTCCTTCAAAAAAGGGAACTTCTATACAAAAGGCATCACTGAAAGTAAACAATTTTTAAAACCCACCCAACAATAACTGGGTTTCCTCCAAGGGCTACCACTCCCCTACACAGAACAATCAGTCGCACCTTCATGGAGGAGCATAGTTAAACAGGCACATTTGCAACCACTATTTAATCTAAGGAGAGATGAATGCCATCTTTATGATCTGAATACAGCAACCTCCTCACAGTGCTAGGAAACCAGGCATTAGGAGGCAAGTGAGGGGAGAAGCGACGAAGCCCAAAAGGGGTGTGGGGAACTGAATTATTTCACAAATCCTACAGGCAGCCTTTATGTTTTTTTCTAAGGCAAACACACAAACCTCCAATTACGGTTTTCGAATCACTTCCTCAGCGTCCGTCCCCCCCCCCCCCCCCCAACCGCGCGCGCCGCCCTCAAATCCTGGCCCCTTACTCCCCTGACAAATTGTATACCCCGTCAGGGGCTGTAGTTGATTACTACCTATTGGGGAAAACCCCTCTTGGCGCTTTTATTCTGGAGTCAAAGGCTCCTTTTCCTTCGGAATAAGAGGCAAGAAAGGCGCCCCAGCTGATCCTAGCTTCAAAGAAACAGCGACAAACAGCAGGCTGTTCAAAGGCATAATATACGTGCCCAAGCGCGCGCCCAGACGAATCGGGTGGGGTGGAGGGAGTTCAACGCAATTCTTCACGCACATCCGAAGTCTCGCTCGGCTGTTATCCATCAGGCGGAATTGTTCGTCCCAGCGCAATGCTAATAAGTATGAATCCCTCGCATTCAGCTCCAGCACGTCTTGAGAGTCTTCTCTCTCAACGTGGCGCCTTTCCCCTCTTATTCAGCTCCCGTTCCCCCCCCCCGCCCCCTAAAACTGCCTAGCTACAATTTGCAAAGCATCCTTGCCTCCCTCCCAGGGAAACGATCAATTACCTTCGCCCGAGCGGTGGTTCCCTCACAAGGCGCTTTACCTTCGCCCGCTTTGATTATGATTTTCCTCCTCTCTCCTAAACTACCAGCAGCCTTTCTGATGAATTTAAAGGACCGTAAGGAGGGGGGGGGGAATGGAGAAACCTCCCCTCCTGACGTCAGAATAGTGGAGGCTGGGCGGGGTTTGGATGGCGATTTGTGTACCAGATTTTAAAGAGACCTGGCTTGGCGGCGGGAGGAGGGAGGCTCTGTCCTATGAGTTGCTTTAATTCGCGTAGTAGACAAAGCCTTTTCTGCGAGAACTTACCAAATGCAAATGCTTAATCTCTAGAGGGTATGTAGGAAGAAAACCTGGGCCGGAACCGAAGCAAATTTTGTAAAAAGGAGCCTTGTGTGCAGGTTTCCCTGGGCCTCGAAGCTTTGGCCTGTTAAGTGGTGTAGTGTAGTGGAAGATGCTATTTTTCCACCCTTTCTTCTGCAGTGAGATTCATCTACCAGTCTGGTTGAATGAGTAGCCTGGCTAAGGGGGGGGCGGGGGTCGCCTTTGCCTTAAGCAACAATATCTCTCGAGAAGAGTTTGGCTAATGGAGTCCCAAGCAAGTTAGGGGTAGTGAATACAGCCAGTATATACCAGCAACCCATGCCTCGGGAATATTTCTTACTGGGTAGGAAAGTGTAGGCAAATATCACACATTCATTAATAGCTGTATAAAAGGTGGCTTTATTGGGAAGTGCCTACTACATAAAGGTAAGAACCACCCAGGTGCTGACATTGCCTTTCCTACACAACTTTAAAAAGCGCACAGATCCTGCACTCTGCACTTGTGGTTGGTCAATAGGCTCAATTCCAGCAATGTCTGCCTATTTCCATATTAAGATTTCTTGCCGGCTACTATTGTGCATGTTCAGTGTACACTAAGCAAAATAACGATGTCCACAAAGCTTATCATGTTCTGTTTGCCCAACATACTAAAAAAAAACCTAGTTAACAAGTACCTACTACAAAAATGAAGTCTGCAATTCTATTCTCACCTATTGAGGATGAGGACTTTTTAAAATTGGGACTTCACATGCATTTGCCTATCTAACCCAATTTGATTTTCTGCAATCTTCTCCAATCTGACCTCTTGCAGAACAATCCAATTTGTTGGGATGGTAATTTACATCATCCCTCTCGGTGTGCTAGCTGGATGATACTGTTGTAGAGTACCAGAGTTAAAGGAATCTGGCTGTCCAGATAATAGGATAATTCTTTTTTTCAGGATGGGGCCTCATGAAGCAAGTCTGATGAGGTAGTGACCTTTGCAAAGGGTGATACCAAATTTTTTCAGCCTATTTTTTTTTCCTTTTTACAGGCTTCTAGCAGCAGCAGTTAACATAAAATATGTTTGTGACTAAACCTTGCAGAAGTTTAGCAGACCTACAGTGTTTAGCATTTTTATGTATCAGGTACAGAGACTTATCCCCAAAGAAGGAAAAGGTTATAAATCATTGCTTTTGCCATTAAAATTCAATTATGTAAACCTGGGTGATCTGAGAATTCCAAAAAAGTAAAGAACTACATGTAGCCCAAGGGTTGCAAGTTCCCCACCTGCCTTAAATGGAAATAATAGCAGTTAGCTTTTTCTGCATGCAAAGCATGTGTTTGTTATGCCCTCTAGAGATAATGGGGAAAAGAACTCTGAGAAACTCTCACAGTTCATCTTTGAAGCATTCAAATATAGAAACATCTAGACTAGAACTTTAAAATTCCATGTAGGGTCACTTCTCTATTATCTTAGAAGGACAAGCTGTTTTCTGAATGAAATTGATGATCTCCCAGGCTTCAGCATATCTAGACAATTGCTTGTACAGATCAGTGTTTTTTTCACATCTGTTATTAACATTTCTTTCCATAGCTTTAGCTGGAGAAGATTGCTGGGCTCTGCATACACAAAAGAAGGCTATTCCATGTGCCAAGATGCTTTCATTCACAACAGATTGTATCTGAGACCTGAATATAAATATGTTCACTGAAGGAGGGAAGATTTTATACCAGTGAACAGAATTTCTATCAAAAGAAATTAAACAGTTCTTCCTTTTGTGTGACTGAAGACTTGGCTTCCTCCTTCTCTTCATTCCCTCTTTTCATAATAATTGAGAATTATGTATCAATCATATGAGGATTCAAAGTCTCCCCACCACAAAAACTGTGCTCAGTTGTTGTTGTTTTTTTTGGGGGGGAGGGAATGTCTCATGCACAATACTGTGAAGCAGGAAATAGCACTAATTTCTAACATTGATACAAATTTTATGAGAGTGAAATTGGTCAAATTGCTAATGCACCAAGCTTACAAGTATTATGAAATCAAGTTTGGTCTAGTTATTAAGGTCCCAGACTAGAAACTTTTGTGATTGTGAGCCCTAGTCCTGCCTTAAGCATGAAAGCCAGCTGGGTGATTTTCAGTCACTTTCTTGTAACCTAACTTATTCCAAAGTTTTGTTGCTATGGAGAAAATAGGAAGTAGTAGTATTAAATACATTTGCTGCATTGAATTATTTATAAAAATAAATAATACATAAAAATATCTAAATATCAGTTTGGTTTTGACTTTTTCATATGAGTTAGTGGTATCATCTTTCCCTACATAAATGTAACCTTATTCATAATTCATCAGCTTGGACAGTTAAGTCTTCCAGGCCTCTATAGGAACTTAGAGGATGACTGTATTTAATCATTTTGATCACTTGAAAAACTGAAATATTCAAGAACTAAGTACTACAGTGAACTATATCAGAGCAGGACTCTGATTTCAGGAAGACGTAACAGCATTTTAAATAATATTCATAGCATGGCTCACTACTGAGAAATACCATAAGCTGCTTTGATTACATAAAAATATATTCTATGTCAAAAATTAGTTTTGGGAACATTCTCTGAAAACTATTTTGATGTAAAAATAGGAAGGTGCTGGCAACTGAGACACGTGGATTGAATAAAAAATGCCCTCGAACTATTCTGTGAAAGGTATGTCATTCCAGAATGATCCCAAAACATTAGTATTTGTTGTACAGGAAATAGATGATACAAAAAGGGTCAGCAGCTGAACTCTGAATCAATGCCATTGATATTTTGGAAATAATTTATAGAGTTCTGGCTCTAAACCAATCATCTGATAATCTCTATTTATATTTGACTGATAATCTCCATCATCCACTATGAAGATAGTTCTTGATCACCCTGATTGAATGTGATTGGAATCAAAATATATCCCAAAGACACCAAGGGAATACCACTACATGAAACTGTTTTAATATGAAAACATTTCACATTATGTATTTAAAACAGTCACTTAAACACATTCAGGCAGTGAAAGGTGGCAGGCTCATAGCTCACTAAGACATCTTTTTGTGAACTAATCTATTTCTCAATAGGAAACAGAAAACTACAATAACCACAACAGAGCTATACTTAAAATATATAATTATTGGATTCCAAGTTGTGTCATAAACAACAGCATAACTTCGCAACTAAAATTATTTTTATTTTTTCCTGCTTTTTTAATTTAAAAATAAAACGAAGGAATGGGATGGGTAGGAACATTATAAAAGAAGAGAAGACATTTAGAGCTGAGCCACAGGTAGAAATCTCTGTCAAATGGGAATAGATCTACTTAATATATGGAAATACCAATATGTTGTGTTTCATATTGCAGCAGAAATTATCCATAGATCAGGATGTTTACTGAAACCCTTTTAAGACAAGGTTGTAATCAAAATTAAAATTTTCATGATTCATGCATACATATTATTTATGGTATATTGCCAAGTTTTCAAACAGCCCACTCTCAATTTTAGCACACTCATGCTCCATTCATCACAAACTTGAATAAAGTGCTACTAGGAATACTCAATGACCAGATATGTCAGTTACAATTTTATTTTCCACAAGAGCAATAATCTTCTAATTTTTCATTCTTTTGTCATCACTTGTCATCACTGAAATTATTGGGCAAGAAAATAATTGAAAAATAAATATGAAGCAATATTAGACAACCAAAATGCATGAGAAACAGGCAGTTATGAAAGATAGAACTGTATAATGGACAAAAGAAAAAATACTTTTATTGGTGTAGGCAAGTGAATTGAAATGAATAGGAAGCTAAAGTTACATTTGATCACATACATTTATTCTCAATAATTGTTGTGGAATTGCACTTTCATGGAGATTACTCATCAAGTCCACTGGATACATTATGTGCATAGGTTCAGTGCTTCTGTAGCTCTTTCATTCTGTTGAGTGCACTACCAGCTTGGAACCACTCAATCTGAGTCTCATTGAAGGTGTGGTTCAGCGTTATTGTTTCTTGGCTCCCATTAGGATGTTTAATGATGCATTTCAGGGGCTGATGGAGAAATTGGAGAAATATATTTTTGGACTTCCTACCATAAGTATGCATTTTTTAAAACCATCATTAACTAAAATGGTTTTTAGACATCTGATATCCTCTAAAACATTTACCACAAGAACTTGGGAACATTTAGTTTCTGAATTTCATAATTTGCCATGATTTATTCCCTCATTTGATCATTTAGCAAATCTTATCAAATATTGAACCCAAAATATGCAAGGATCCAGGTACTGTACTAGACTTGGCAGAATATAGTATTTCCCCTAGGTAAGCCTCTTAATTTCAATATTTTACTTTAACCTGTTAATGTTAAGACACACCAAACAAGAAATGTTGCTTTCCCCAATTTTAACATCCCTGCAATGCTTCAAATCTCAACAGTATTCTAGAATGCTCCTGCATCAAAGCCGAAGCTTAGAGAAGCATTACCTCCAAGTGGGTGTAGCTTCTTCAGCACATGAAGCATTGGCAAGTATTCAATTTCCACTCTCAACACTGGATTTGAAAAAAAAAACCTTACATTTTCCCCAAAAATACAATATGTATTATTTAAATTAATGTGTAACAAAATATTTTATAGAAAGAAAGAAGAAAAAACATGGCTACTAGAGTGAAGAAACACAAGTCCCCATATATGATAAAGCAACCTTTACGTTTTGTCTATTTCTAAATATACTAGGGACATGCAAAGCACTTTGTTTTGATTTCAAACATCAAATTTCACAAAATTTC